GCATAAATCAAAATAAGTAGGTACCTGAGCTTTAATTCTGTGAGTTTTGGGTTGTCCTTTTGGGAGGAGACACCGGGAGAGACGGGGGAAGACAAACAATACCCGCACATGCAAAAGCTGGGGATGGTTCTGTCCGCATCGTACATGACCCCGTTTTGGCTGCGGGTGCGCTGAGCTGTTGTCAAAGCGGCCACAGTTTTCTCCGAGGTCAGAACGGAGGACTTGATTCACGTTCGAGGTTGTACTGCTAAACATCCCGCAGGTCTAACATTTACAGATATGACATTTTCAAGAAAAAGTTGGAATTCGTGATCAAAGAAAATTTTCATCTGGTTTACCCTGATGCATTTCATTGGTCAAGTGAGTTACAAGAAGAGAATTGGTTCAAAAAAGTTAAAACAGACGTGTCCGCTTTCCCGGCTCGTAGGTAGAAATGGCAACAACAGCGCTCCCAGCTTGAAGTAGAAATGAGGGACTGCTTTCCTGGCTTCAATGGTTAAAGACGTTTAACGTCTGTTGTTATGGAAGCATTGTATTGTATGTACATTTTGAATTAAAGTGTGAGTGTGAAATCTAACACTTAATAAAAAAACAAAAAACAATTTGTGACGTTTATAAGTTGATTAAAAGATGATTCGACGGACATAAAGTAAGATAAAAAAGTTGCGATTAATCGCGATGTTAACCTGACCTTCATGCGCATTAATCTAATTAAAAAAGTGAATTGTGGTCAGTGATGATAAAGGGACATACAGATAAAAGATTAGACGCATATGAAAATATTGTTTTACATTATAGAAAAAAGTCGTATGAACCCATCCTCTACTCATTGCTAGTCAAATTGTTTTTTTTCCAGTGCTCAAATGATTTAGACTGGAATCACTAAAGTGGTCTCTGTGTCTGCGCCGAGTCTGAATCTTAGCCAGAGCCTGAATCACATACTACTGATTTGGGCTTCTTCCAGTCTTTGTGTATGTATAACCTCCTTTTTGAGACAAAACTTTTGTCCTCTGTGTTTCAGTTGATCATGGGTTTTGTTCCTCTGTGTTTCAGTCTGATATGGGTTTGGTTCCTCTGTGTTTCAGTCTGATCATGGGTTTTTGTTCCTCTTTGTTTTCAGTTGATCTGGGGTTTGGTTCCTCTGTGTTTCAGTCTTGATCATGGGTTTGGTTCTCTGTGTTTCAGTCTGATCAAGGTTTTGTTCCTCTGTGTTTCTAGTCTGATCATGGTTTGGTTCCTCTGTGTTTCTAGTTGCTCATGGGTTTGGGTTCCTCTGTGTTTCTAGTCTGATCATGGTTGGTTCCTCTGTGTTTCAGTCTGTTCATGGGTTTGGTTCCTCTGTGTTCGTCTGATCATGGTTTGCGTGCCTCTGTGTTTCTGTCTGATCATGGTTTTGTTCCTCTGTGTTTCAGTCTGATCTGGGTTTGGTTCCTCTGTGTTTCAGTCTGATCATGGGTTGGTTCCTCTGTGTTTCAGTATGATCATGGGTTTGGTTCCTCTGTGTTTAGTCTGATCATGGGTTTGGTTCCTCTGTGTTTCAGTCTGATCATGGGTTTGGTTCCTCTGGTGTTTCTGTCTGATTGTGGGTTTTGTTCCTCTGTGTTTCAGTCTGATCATGGGTTTGGTCCTCTGTGTTTCAGTCTGATTGTGGGTTTTGTTCTCTGTGTTTCAGTTGATTGTGGGTTTTGTTCCTCTGTGTTTCAGTTGATTGTGGGTTTTGTTCTCTGGTTTAGTCTGATCCATGGGGTTGTGACAAAGGCCAAAGAGAAGAATCTTCTGAAGAGGAAGCAGGAGGGACGTCTACTGAGCTTCAGACGAATGTCTGATGGGAGGAGTGACCTTCTCCTGGAGAGACACCCACCTTCACCGGTCTGTTCATCAGGTCTCAGGTAGCAAGACGTGGTTATTTTATCTGTGCCAAAAGGCCTGCTGTCGTTAGATTAATTCTATAATGCTTACTAATACTACTATTACTGATATTACTGCCACAAAAAAGGCACACAGGCCGTGAGGTGCAGAAGGTAGATGTAGTGAGTGAGGGACACTATTTTTAACTTTTTTAAAAGTTTAAGTTAAACATTTGTCAGTAGAAATAAGTGCATAAATACTTAAAAGTAAAAGTCTGTTACTTAAATAAAGGCAGTGAAATAGTTTTTTCTAGATGCATCAAAAAAATAATCGCTAGATTAATCGTTTAAAAAATAATCGTTTATCCCAGCCCTAATTCCAACCACTCCCCTCAGGCGCTGCGGTCCATCAGGACTAGAACCTCCCGCCACAAGAACGTTTCTTCCCCTCTGCTGTTGGACTCTTGAACACTTAACCTGTCCCCCCGCCCTCTAGAAGTCCCCTCACTGCCCTCATAAAGTCACTTTACTTCACTGTACTGCTGTCACCTTACACTGTGTGCACCATGTGCACTTGTATATTGTATATAGTAATTGAAGGTGTGTGTGTGTAGTGTGCGGTGTGTTGTGTGTGTAGTGTGTTGTGCGCAGTGTGTGTCGGAGTGGGTACACATGCATGTGTGTATATGTTTGTTTCTTATAGTGCATGAGTGCTGTGTGTATTTGTATGTGTACTTGTGTTTATGCCTGGGTATAAGTGTATGTTTGTATGTGTGCATGTGTGCGTGTGCCTGAGTGGGTATATGCATCTGTGTGTGTGTGTGCACATTTGTTAGCCATGAGCATATCCAGAAGTGTGTTTGCATGTACTACACATGTATGTGTCCCGAGCTTGAGCTTCACACATGCACGCGTCCACACCCCTCAGTGTCTGAGCACATGCTTGTGCAATGAAGATCCAGCTGTAGGAAAACCGTAACAGATATTTACAGGATGAAGATCACCTGCATATTCTCACATTCGTAAACATGAGCATATACAGCAAGTGCTGTACATTGTGCCGATAATACTTTGGAAATACTTTGGAAACTTGTTTTATAAAAAGCTACTATATAAATAAAGTGAATTAATTGGATTGGATTTAACCCATAATGGGTTGAAAAAATATTCAAGAGTTTGAATGTTCTCCCTGTGTCTGTGTAGGTCTCCGGTTTCCGCTACCACTAAAAACATGTACAATAGTTCAGGGTGAATGAGTGAGTGTTGCGAGTAGTGCGAGGGTGGGATAGATAGATAGATACTTTTTTGACCCCCGTACGAAAAATTCAGGGACAACGGATGCAAATTAGCCCAAGGCTTGGTGTGTTCATTAACATTCACTGTTTAATAAATAGTTTAATAAGATTAGTTTGAATTATCACTTATTGCGTTTAGGGTTCAATTATAATAATACAAATGGTGTGGTTGTTTTCTTCACAGAAATTATTTTTAAAGCAGTGTATAACATGCAACATTATCACAGACCCTCAGAGGGGAAAATCCGCACTGACATTAAAGTTTGATGTTCTCTAGGGGGGCACAAAATACCCTTTTGCAGGCTGCAAATGGCCCCCGGAGCACATGTTTGAGATCACTGATTTAGAGCAAATCATGTTGTACACTTCCCCTTTCACATATATTACAGTCTAGTGCTGTTGGGCTTTAAGCCCAGGCAGAAGAGAACATGTTTCTAATAAGTGCTCAAGATAGATAGATACTTTATTGATACCTGTCGGAGAACTTCAGGTGTCTCTTGAGGTCCGACTGCCCCTTACACACAACAACAGAGAACACTGCACTAGCTACATAATTACATCTGACAACACCTGAAGCTCATATCAAAACATCCCAGTCACATTAAACGGGGCCCCAGCCTTCCTGAGGCCTCCTCAGGAAGAAGAGTCTGCTTTCTTATACACAGCATTGGTCTGTGCTGAACAGTCCAGTCTGTGGTACAGGTGGACTCCCAGGTATTTGTAGGACTATACCACTTCAATGTCCTGTCCATTTAATGGGACTGGTTGATGGGAAGGGTTCCTGTGAAAGTCAATAATCATGGTGGTCGGAAGGGCCGATGGCACAGACTGATTGCCAGTTTTCTGTCGGTGTGTCTTTCAGCTCTTGCTACAGTAGTAGTTTGTCACCACTGTGTTTGGAGTGATTGAATGCTGTGTGTTCTACACAGTAGAACAAAAATAATCCAACCCTGAATCTTTAACCAAGAGACTGAGACTTTGCAGAGAACTTATTTGTGTGTTTTATATTGGTTTCAGATTTAAACAAACGTTTTACACAATCTGTAAAACATTATTAGTGTTTTACAGATTGTGTGGGTTGGGCTTCAGCCTTACGTCCTCCTGTTTTATTCTCTGTGGTCTCGGCCGCTGCCAGCTCTCTTTCTGATCTGTTCCTGCTGTTTGTGCAAACTCAGCTCAAAAAAGAAGCATGTCATTTCTGTTTAATCCACGGTTTTTGTTGTCTTCCTTTCCCTCTGCTCTTTCCTTAATGTGAGCACACAGCGGAAAGTAAGTTTGACAGTAGATTCAGATTGTGATGGTCAGGAGCGAAAGGCACAACAATAAGCATCCATATTGTAACCATTGTTATGTTGGCTGCTCTCCTCTGTCTTCTGTAGTTTCAATTATGGAAATATAGAAATTCAACTTCATCATCAAAAGTTTCCAGGGGTGCATCTGTCCAGTTTCAAAGCCTCTGCGCCATCTTATTATGTTGTTGTGATGTCCTTCACCTGACCATCAAACTAACCCATTCCTGTAGTAAAAGTATGTAATACTAGATGTATTAGAAAACTCAGTACAAGGAAACTACTGTAGTAATAGAGTAATGTGGTCCTTCAGCATTACGCTGTTCACCATTTGCTGTTCCTCAGATGTCTTTGTGCAATTTTGCTACATATGCACCGCATTTGTGTACTTCAAAATTTACCTTTAATTAAAGTCAGAAGAAAACTGGCTTTCTCTGGTCTCTCTCTCTCTTGTCTCTGGACTATCTGGTTGCTCTCTTTCTGGTCTCTCTCTCAAATTTATTCTCTATCTCTCTGGTCTGTCTTCAGTATTTGGTCCAATCTCTTCACATTTCTTTCTGTTGCAGCAAATGAGTGACCTGGACTCACGGATCCAGGAGAAGGCGCGACACGTGGACATGGACATCTGTCGCCGCATTGACATCACGGCCAAACTCTGTGATGTCGCTCAGCAGCGCAACTCTGAGGACATGAGCAAGATGTTCAACGTGAGCTCAGCCAGGTCGCTGCCAGAGAGGGTGAGTGAGAGGGAGAGGGCGAGGGGGAGAGGAGAGAGTGAGGGGAAGAGGAGAGGGTGAGGACATGGTCGGCACTAGATCATATACGGAATCGGGACGGAAGCGGAAGTAAAAATAACAAAATACCTATTCATGCCTAAACTTAACCAGCCATTCCCATAAAATAACCCCAACCCACCCTTAACCCTAACCTTAACCATCTTAATTAGACGCCTAAAACTTAACCAGTCACCACTTAAGGACTTTTAGTCTAAAACTAATTCGAAAGTAGGATTGTTACTTCCGGTTTTGTCCCGATTCCGTATATGATCTAGTGCCGACCGTGAGGAAATGGGCAAGATGTTTCACGTGGGGAAGGGGAGAATATGAGGGGGAGAGTGGGAGAGAGCCAGGGTGAGAATGGGGGGGAGACTAGAGGGTAAGGGTGAATATTTACCAGGGAAGGAAATTAATGGCACTTTGATTTTGCTAACCTGCTAGCTCAAAGCTAACCCTCTTGCTCAATGATAACCCGCTAGCTCACGGCTAGCTGCTAGCTCAATGAAGCCCAATAGAGAAGTATTCATGAAAAAAGTTTTGCTCTGGCTCCTGTTGACTTACATGTAATAGGAAGCTCCTCTAGCTTTGAATTGACATGTGAATAGCAGAATGAAGAAATATTTAGCAATAAAAGTTACTTATTCAAGCAGCAACTTAAATCATATTTTTTTGACAGTCGGTCCCCAGGACAGCTGTGGCTAAAGATGTGTTTGAACGCGTGCTGCTTAGTGCTAAGTTCGACCCGAAGCACATCTTATCTGAACAAAGGCGTATGATTGGTTTCAGCTTTGGTGGGGACCATTACTGGGTATACACTCATTCACTGGTTGTCCATGGGTTCTCCCCCGGGAAAATTGGTTGTAATCATAAACCATAATTGCAATAGTTTATTGCCTTTTATACTAATGTAAGCAGTCTAGAATGAGAGGCAGTTAAGGATTTTTCTTTAACCAATAGTTATAATACATCAATTGGTTCGGAGCCTCTGAGTATTGACTCATCAGCCACTTTGTCCACAAGATGGCTTAAATGTTGAGAGGCCATAAGCTTCCAAATGCTTGCATTTCAATCACTGGGTCTATTGGACTTGTAATAAATATCAACATCCTCCTCCAACTCACAAAACAGAATTTAAAGTATTTTAGTAAAAGGGACAAAGATACACTTTATTTTCATGGTTTCATTGCTCTCTTGAAAATGAAAAAGCGCAGCAATCGCTGGGTAGAGAGATGAGCGGATCACATAATGCTGCTGCTGTCTTGGTGGGGCGAGGAGGAGGCGTGGCATATGAAGAAACTGGAGGCGGTGGATTTGGTCCAGTACATTATCTTATATTTGTTGAGGATATTTTGGTCCTCCCAAAATATTGGTGAGGTGATGTCTCAAACATACGCTCATGGCTTATTATTTTTTATTACGCCGATGTCACTGGCTTCAAGGTGAGGGACTGGATTAGGCTCAAACCACAGAGCGTATATCAGGAGTAGACCGAGTGTGACATCACCATAGTGCAGCTGCCATATTGTTTTCTCAGGGTGAGTGTTTGCAGTGTCAAACGGATTTCCGCGCATGCGCGGCCTTAAGGCCAAATTAAATGTATGCTTCAAATCTGCTCCAAAAGGGGCTGATTTTGGAAGTCTCGGGTGTGCGCTGCAGTTGTCGGTCATGTGAATTTTGCTTCCGCCTGCAGCCAAAGAATATAGAAGTTACAAAGCCCTAACATTAATAAACTTGACTGTGTCTAGCTATAAACTTAATCTGATTGTGAATAATGTATTGTCCGTATTAAACATGTGGAAAAGCCATCAATCCAAAGTGAAAATGATCATAACAATAGACTCTAACAATAAAATAAAAATTGGAAAAATGTGAGAAACCTAGGGGAGACCCACATATTGAGAGAGGGATCTGTCCCGTCGTCGCACCATGAAATAGACAATGGGACAACAGGTGAATAGCAATGAACAGACGGTAACACTTTACATTACGGGCCGGTAAGTCCATGGTACTTACAGTGGTACTTCTAGGTACTTACAGTGGTACTTCTAGGTACTTACGGTGGTACTTACGGTGGTACTTACGGTGGTACTTACGGTGGTACTTACGGTGGTACTTACGGTGGTACTTACGGTGGTACTTACAGGGGTACTTACGGTGGTACTTACGGTGGTACTTACGGTGGTACTTACGGTGGTACTTACGGTGGTACTTACAGTGGTACTTACAGTGGTACTTCTAGGTACTTACAGTGGTACTTCTAGGTACTTACAGTGGTACTTACGGTGGTACTTACGGTGGTACTTTACGGTGGTACTTACGGTGGTACTTACGGTGGTACTTACGGTGGTACTTACGGTGGTACTTACAGGGGTACTTACGGTGGTACTTACGGTGGTACTTACAGTGGTACTTACAGTGGTACTTACAGTGGTACTTACAGTGGTACTTACAGTGGTACTTCTAGGTACTTCTAGGTACTTACAGTGGTACTTCTAGTGGTACTTCTAGGTACTTATTGTGGTACTTACAGTGGTACTTCTAGGTACTTACAGTGGTACTTAGAGGTACTTATTGTGGTACTTACAGTGGTACTTCTAGGTACTTATTGTGATAATTCTAGATACAGCTGTAACTTAGTAATTCAAGGACACTACAGTATTATTCCTATGTAGTAAATGTGGTACTTCTACATACATACATACAGAGGTCATTTGTAGGATTGTTTGACTATAAAACATAAAACAACATTATGTAAAACAAACGTCTTTATTAATATGGAATAAGTAGCACAGAAAGGACAGTATAAATACATTTAATGCATATTTCAAAACAAGTTTCAAGGACAAGGGAAACACTGCAAGAACTAGGTACCCAACCCAAGTAACAAGAATTACACATTACCAGGTACTTACCAGCCAAGTACCAGGTACTTACCAGCAAGTACCAGGTACTTACCAGCAAGTACCAGGTACTTAACAGCAAGTACCAGGTACTTAACAGCAAGTACCAGGTACTTACCATAGGGACTGGCCCATAATAAGACAAAGGACTTTAACATAAGTACCAGTGATAACACCAGTAATTATACAGTAAGTACCAGGTACTTACCATAGGGACTGGCCCATAATAAGACAAAGGACTTTAACATAAGTACCAGTGATAACACCAGTAATTATATAGTAAGTACCAGGTACTTACCATAGGAACTGGCCCATAATAAGACAAAGGACTTACCCATAAGTACTAGTGATACCAGTAATTATATAGTATACCATGTACTTACCAGCAAGTACCATGTACTTACCAGCAAGTACCAGGTACTTACCATAGGGACTGGCCCATAATAAGACAAAGGACTTTAACATAAGTACCAGTGATAACACCAGTAATTATACAGTAAGTACCAGGTACTTACCATAGGGACTGGCCCATAATAAGACAAAGGACTTTAACATAAGTACCAGTGATAACACCAGTAATTATATAGTAAGTACCAGGTACTTACCATAGAAACTGGCCCATAATAAGACAAAGGACTTACCCATAAGTACTAGTGATACCAGTAATTATATAGTATACCATGTACTTACCAGCAAGTACCAGGTACTTACCAGCAAGTACCAGGTACTTACCAGCAAGTACCAGGTACTTACCAGCAAGTACCAGGTACTTACCAGCAAGTACCAGGTACTTACCAGCAAGTACCAGGTACTTAACAGCAAGTACCAGGTACTTACCAGCAAGTACCAGGTACTTGCTGGTAAGTACATGGTATACTATATAATTACTGGTATCACTAGTACTTATGGGTAAGTCCTTTGTCTTATTATGGGCCAGTTCCTATGGTAAGTACCTGGTACTTACTATATAATTACTGGTGTTATCACTGGTACTTATGTTAAAGTCCTTTGTCTTATTATGGGCCAGTCCCTATGGTAAGTACCTGGTACTTACTATATAATTACTGGTGTTATCACTGGTACTTATGTTAAAGTCCTTTGTCTTATTATGGGCCAGTCCCTATGGTAAGTACCTGGTACTTACTATATAATTACTGGTGTTATCACTGGTACTTATGTTAAAGTCCTTTGTCTTATTATGGGCCAGTCCCTATGGTAAGTACCTGGTACTTACTGTATAATTACTGGTGTTATCACTGGTACTTATGTTAAAGTCCTTTGTCTTATTATGGGCCAGTCCCTATGGTAAGTACCTGGTACTTGCTGTTAAGTACCTGGTACTTGCTGTTAAGTACCTGGTACTTGCTGGTAAGTACCTGGTACTTGCTGGTAAGTACCTGGTACTTGCTGGTAAGTACCTGATACTTGCTGGTAAGTACCTGGTACTTGCTGTTAAGTACCTGGTACTTGCTGGTAAGTACCTGGTACTTGCTGGTAAGTACCTGGTACTTGGCTGGTAAGTACCTGGTAATGTGTAATTCTTGTTACTTGGGTTGGGTACCTAGTTCTTGCAGTGTTTCCCTTGTCCTTGAAACTTGTTTTGAAATATGCATTAAATGTATTTATACTGTCCTTTCTGTGCTACTTATTCCATATTAATAAAGACGTTTGTTTTACATAATGTTGTTTTATGTTTTATAGTCAAACAATCCTACAAATGACCTCTGTATGTATGTATGTAGAAGTACCACATTTACTACATAGGAATAATACTGTAGTGTCCTTGAATTACTAAGTTACAGCTGTATCTAGAATTATCACAATAAGTACCTAGAAGTACCACTGTAAGTACCACAATAAGTACCTCTAAGTACCACTGTAAGTACCTAGAAGTACCACTGTAAGTACCACAATAAGTACCTAGAAGTACCACTAGAAGTACCACTGTAAGTACCTAGAAGTACCACTGTAAGTACCACTGTAAGTACCACTGTAAGTACCACTGTAAGTACCACCGTAAGTACCACCGTAAGTACCACCGTAAGTACCCCTGTAAGTACC